TGATTATTTCAGGACTAAAATTATAATCCCTGAATTAAATATATTCTAATGCTTAATTTCTATAATTATTTTCAATCAAGTCACACTTAATTAATTATTCTAAATTAATTTATGATTATTGGTTCTTAATGTGTGTAACTTATTAGGTTTTTAAGATGTTAGCTCGAATATAAATTATAATAGTTAAATACTATTTGTATTATAATATATTTAATATTAATCTTTTTGGTTTTTTAAAGAAAAGTTTAATTGTTAAGAGAAGAAATTTTAAAATAATCTATTTAATGTTTTGGTTTTTTGATAGATATTTAAGAATTACTTTTCTTTAACGAAAAAAGAAGTCATTTTGGCTCTTCATTTAGCTTTCTCATTCCAACAAAATTAATAAAAAAAGTAAAAAAAATAGTTTTTTTTTAAGTTGTTCTTTTGCCCTCTAATTGGAGATGCTAATATCTATAAAAAAATAAAAGAATTAAAATAAATTATTTAAAAACTCCCTTTTTCATCTCCATAATTTTTCTTAATGACTTTGCTTACAAAAACCAAAAGTTAATATTAAATTTATTAAAATAAAATTAGGTTGTTAAAATAATTTTTTTTCATTGAAGTGTTTATAAAAAAAAATACATTGTTTAAAAAACTACGATATGGCATGCTTGCGTGCTGCCATAAATTAGCCTTTTTATTTCTAAAAAAATATCAAAAAAATATAAGATTATAAGAAATTGAGTTATAAGGACATGAGAATTGGGTTAAGACATTAGACCAAAAAAATTAGGTTTATGGCCAAACTTAAAGGATTGGAACCATTAGAGTCTAGACCTAAGAGGGTGAGGGTCCTGCCAAAGATCCAAACGGGTTGGGTTTGGAGTCATGTTTGGACCCAAAGAGTTGGGTTTGGGTTCCTTCTGTGGCCAGATCTAAGATCATGGGGTGGTGGGTTTGTGTTTGACCCAAGAGGGTGGGGGTTGAGTCATTGTCATGACCTAAAAGGGTTTAGGTCCTTCCTTGCCTAAACCTAAAATCGGTTAGGGTTGGGGTTTGGGTCAAGGTCCTTCCTTGTCCAAACCTAAAATGGGTTGGGGTTGTGTCCAGCCATGTCTGGACCCTAAACAGGTTATGGTAGGGTCGAAGTCCGGACCCAAGAGGGTTGGTAGCTAGGTCCATGTTCGGATCTAAGATGGTTTGGGTATGGGTCATTCCAAATCTGAACCTAAAGGAGTTTAGGTTAAGATCGACATCCAGACCCAAAATAGTTTTGGGTCCTTCCTTGTCCAGACCTAATATAAGTTAGGGTTGAGTCTGTGCCAAACCCAATAAGGTTGGGGGCTAGGTGCAGTTCGCACCCAAAATAGTTTTGGGTGTGGGTTGTTCTATGTCCGGACCCAAGAGGATTGGGTGTTAGGTTCGTATTTGAACCCAAGAGGGTTTGGGTCTCTTTGTGTCTAGACCTAAGGGTCTTTAGGTTTGGACCCTTCCATGTTGCGACCCAATATGAGTTGGGGGTGGGACGTGGGTTCAAATCCAAAGGTTTTTGGATTTAGGTTCATCCTTGTCTAGACTTAAAGGGGTTTGAGTGGGATTTAGAGTCTAACCCAAGGGGATTGGGTTTGGGTCCTTCTAAACAGGACCCAAAATAGGTTTAGGTGTGGATCCTTTCATATATAGACCCAAGAGATGGCTTGGGGTTAGTGTCTTTACCTAAAATGGGCTTGAGTCCTTCCGTATCCAGACCCAATATGTATTGGGGGATGAGTTTATTGTTAGACCCATGAGGGTTAGGTGCATGTCCGAATCTAAAAGGGTTTAAGTCCTTCCTAGTCTGGACCCAGAATGGTTTTGGGTGTAGGTCCTTCCATATTCTGACCAAAGAGCGTTTAGGGTTGGGTCTGTTTCCAAGCCCAAGGGGGTTTGGCTCCTTTTATGTTCGGACCTAGAGGGTTTTAGGTTTAGGTCTTTTTATTCGTGACACAATATGAGTTGGGGTTAGGGTTTGGGTTCGTCCATGTCTGGACCTAAAGAGGTTTGGGTGGGGTTCCGAGTCCAATCCAAAAGGATTGGGTTTAGATCCTCCTGTGTCAGAATGTAAAATAGATTTTGGTATGGGTCCTTTCCTATCTGAACCCTAAAGGGTTTAGGCATTTTTATGTTCAGATCCAAAAGGGTTTGGGATGAGTTCGAAGTTCGAACCCAAGGGGTTTGGAATGGGTTCAAAGTCTAGACCAAAAGAGTTTAAGTTTGGGGTCCATGTCCGGACCCAAAATAAGTTTAGGTGTGAGTCCTTCCATTTCCAGGCATAAAAGGGCTAGGGGATGGCTTCATTTGAGACCCAATAAGGTTAAGGTGAGATCCATGCTTGGACCCAATGGGATTTATGTTTGAGTCCCTTCATATCTAAACCCAAGAGGGTTTGGGTTTGGGTACTTGTGTCCGAACCCAATATGACTTGAGGTTGGGTTGGGGTCCAAACCCAAGGGTTTTTGGGTTTAGATGAATTTGGGGTCCATGCTCGAACCCAAAATAAGTTTGGGTATGGGTCCTTCCTTTCCAGGCATAAAAAGGCTAGGGGATGGGTTCGTGTGAGACCCAATAAGGTTGGGGTGAAGTCCATGCTTAGACCTAATAGGGTTTATGTTTGAGTCCCTTCGTGTCCAGACCCAAAAGGGTTTAGGTTTGGGTACTTGTGTCCGAACCCAATATAACTTGAGGTTGGGGTTGGGGTCCGAACCTAGGGATTTTTGAGTTTGGGTCCTTTGGGTTTAGGTTTGGTGTAGAGTCTAACCCAAAGGGATTGAGTTTGGGTCATCTATGTTAATACCTAAAATGGGTTTAGATGTCAGTCCTTTCCTGTCCGGACTGAAGAGGGTTAGGGTCCTTTAGTGTTCAAACCCAAAGTGGTTTGAGATGGGTTCGAAATCCAAACCCAAAAAGTTTGAGGTCAGCAATCAGACTTAAAATGAATTTGGGTTTTGGTCTTTCCATTTCCGAGCCTAAAAAGATTAGGGGGATGGCTTCGTAGCCAGACCCAATAAGGCTAGGGGCTGGGTATGTGCCCGGAACCAAGGGGGTTTAGGTTTGGTTCCTTTGTTTCCGTACCCAATAGGGTTTAAGTTGGGGTATTTTCGTGTTCGGATCTAAAAGGAGTGTGGGATAGGCTCGGAGTTCGAACCCAAAGGGTTTGAGTCTGGGATCAGCGTCCAGACCTAAAATGAGTTTTGGTGTAGGTCTTTTTTTATCCGGACTCAAGAGGGTTGGAGGATGAATTTCGTGGCTAGACCCAATAGGGTTAGGGTTTGGTTTTAGCATGGCCAAACCCAAAAGTATTTGAGTTGGGTTTGAGGTATATGTTCATATCCAAGAAATATGGGTTTGGACGCCTGACCAAATAGAAGGGGTTCCATGTCAACAGACCCATTGGCTTGGTTGGGCAGCCGGGTTCACATGTTTAGCTCAACATCAGGATATAACAACCCGAGCATAAAGGATCTGCATCCCCCTTGTAGCCTTGAAACTTTTATAGTCGGGAATGACTACCCTTGCTTTAAATGTCCGTGCTTGATTAGCTCAACATCAGGATATAACAACCCAAGCATAAAGGATCCACATCCTCTTTGTAGCCTTGAAACTTTTATAGTCGGGAATGACTACACTTGCTTTAAATGTCTGTGCTCGAGGCTGCAGCATATAATACTCTCATAAAATATGCAATCCACATTATAATGAGTTTTTATAAACAGTGTATATTTTTAGCAATATTACAATTCAAGGTGAAATAAATCTTGATGAGCAAGACTTTTTACATATATTTTAGCTTTATATATAATATTAATAATTTTACTTTTCTAAATGGCTTTTCATCAAAAATATTCTAAAAAAATACCTTTCTATTTTAGAATTTAACTATCATACAAAAAAACCAAAGAAGTAGCTCGACAAGTGAAGAGCCGTTGCTTTAATGATTCATATGGCACAAAGTTTAATCTAAAAGAAATAGAAATTAGCAAGCTTAACTAATAGTAAGTAAATTTTGTGATGGATAAGAACAATATAAATAAACTCATTACAGGTTAAAAATCTAAAAGATAATAAATAAATAAAAAGATTATAAATATAATTTTTTTTTTCAAAATACTTAATTTTATTTTCACTAATTAAAAGAATTTTATCTGCGACGATTATAACTATTTTCTTAATAATATATATTGAACTCTAATAATATTGAATAAAAAAAATCTTCTTAAAAAAATAAAAATACATCATAAAAAAATTAATTAAGAAAAACATCTATTTTTCTAAAAAGATTCTTGCATTAATCTTGTCAAATTAAAAAAAAAAATACCTAATCTGAAGTTCACTCTACAATTAAAAATTATTCTCTATCAAAAACATCATTTTACATGCAAGTCATATCAGTATTTATTCAAGTGTGAACTGTCCCATTATGAATCCCTGACACGACACCGAATCTTCAGCACAAAACAAAATCAACATACTAGTTTTTGAATCTTTTTCTTAGTGCAAAACCTTCTCATCTCCTTCAACACAAACATATCATCTTCCGTAATTTTTTACAACCATAATTATTTTATAGCACACAATAAAATAAAATAAAATAAACCATCCACGCATAACAAAACAAAATAACTACAAAAAATCTTTTAAGTTTTAATATCAATTGACACCATAAAAAACAAAAGATAAAAGAATTAATTACATAACAAAATCTTAAAAAACCAAAAACACCGAATCCAGGGAGATTATCAAGATCCTTAATTTTATTCATTTAAATCTTCATTTATCAAAAAACTATTATAAATTTTTATATATAAAAAAAACCCACAATAATATTGGATAGAATAAAATAAATTATTAGAAAAAAAAAGTTCCCCCGAAATAGGCATAAAAAATACAAAAACATCATACTAAAAAGTAAAAAAATAAAAATAAAAATAAAAATAACTAAGAAAAATATATTTTCCTCAAAAACCAATGCATCAAAATCTCTCCACAAAATCCGAAATACATTAATCTTGGCATCTCAAACAATACCATTCAGAAAATATTGCATTAGCGCCATCAAAAGCACGTAACACAACGCCAAACGTCAGTACTGAAATCGATTTAATCTATACAGTGGTCTCACAGTTTAAACCACTTGCATTAATGTACTCAATAACAGCATAATCATAACTCATCAGATTTATTGTAGACCGCGAACATGATGTTGTTATCAGAATCATTAAAATAGATGCTGTTTGGTGGATCATTGCATTTCAGAGAAGCCCTCTTCTTCTCTTGTAGTCACCAACCGTCAAGGTCAAAGCATGTCTTCTCCCATCATTCTCACGGACTTGGCATCCAACAGTTGCTTCTATCCTCTGTTTCCTAGCCATGAACCCTGCATGGGCACCCTGAGGTCCACGAAACTTCTGCAGTGCAATCAGTGAGATTTCAAGCTCAAAGTTATGCATTGTATTTGACTCAGTGCCTTGATCCACAGGAGCACTGGTATCCACTAACTTCCCAGCATCAGCTGCCGCATCCAAAGCAGCTGCTGTAGCAGCAACACCAGACACCGACATTGCCCCTGCTACTACATGATGACTATCTGCAACTGCCGCTGTGTCATTTGCCTCACTATTTGATGCAGCAGCAGCATCAGCTCCTCCAGCAGGGTTTGAAACATAATAATTCCTTGACCTTGTCCATCTCCTTGAAAATGGGTCGTACCCAGCTTCTCCGGCTTTTAGACCTGTATTTATAGGCTTCAATTCTGATGCATTTCTGAAGTTCTCAACTCTGTTCTTTCTATTCATTTCTGCCAGCCTAATAGCCTTGGCATCTTTCACCTTAGCCTGCCGAGATGCCTCCAGTTCCAGAATCCTTGCCTCTATCCTCTCAACCTCTGCCTCGTCATGCTTACTTTGTGCAATTTCCAGCTCCCTCCTCAACCTGTCCTTCTCAGCAGCAACATTCAATGGTCTCGATGATGCAGATTTTTTCTCCTGCAGCATCTGCTTCACAGTGGCTGCTGAGTACACAAAAGTGTTCGACTTACGTATGGCTTCCTTCTTTTCCAAGATATCTTGTTTGCTTGGTAAACGGCCACCACCACGCTCCGCTTCTCTAACCCACTGTTTATACTCTTCCTCAGTTGGTGCAGAATCTGACACCATAGCCATCTGCCACCTGGCAGCAGAGCTATCAGCACCCCAAGTAACATTCAAATACTTAAAAGTTGACTTATTCTCCAGTTTGTATGGCTTGTCAGGTTCTGCAGCATCAACATTCCGGACCATGCAGAGCCTGTACACAGGCCCAGTCTTCGACCTACCAATCCCTACCCTCACAAAACAACCAATAATCAATTCTTCAAACCAAGGCTCCATAAACCATTTTGCAAGTTTTGTTCTCCGAATTGTAATTTCTTTTATATCTTCATAAGTTGGCCCCTGGGACCCAGGATCCCCATCCTCATCACTATCTGCCATTCCACCATCACCTGTTGACCCTTCATCCTCACTGTGAGACCTACTTCCACTCTCACTCTCACTGCTAGAGCTACTCAGACGTGCTGAAGTGAAATTATTCTTCTTGACTTGTGCAAAGCCCCTGCTGCCAGCAGATCCTCTAGATGCATCCCTCAACTTGCGATGAGCCTCTGGGTCCTGCTGTTTTAATCGTTTAGCTCTCAATTCATTCAATGCATCATCTTTAGCAGCAGCCCTGTCAGCTGACCTAGCTGAAGAACGCACTCCACGCAACGATGGAAGAGGTGGAGTCTCTTTTCTAGATCGGGTTGGTTTATCATTATCCCTTTTTGATCTGATTTTCTCAGTCAAATGTTTATCCCCTTTCTTGTCTGCCCGGTCTGCCAATATCAACTCCCTGTCAAGTTCACTCATCTGAGCAAGCTTCTGCCGATCATCCTCGTCTTTGTAAAGATCATCACCAATATCCGATGCATCACTACTCTCACCCTCACGATACGAACCACCATCATCATAATCACCTTCTTCCTGACCACCCCCCTCATCATCCCTCTCATTAGTTTCCAGTCTCTTCTTCAAAGGCACTTGAGAACCAGATGGCTTCCTACTTGCATACCCACGATCGTCATCTGAACCATCATCCCTAGAATCACTTCCACCATCCGAATATGAACCCTCCTGTTTTCGCCTCCTTGATGGAGGTAATGAATTCCTGTTTCTTCCTGATTTCCCAGTCCTTCCCGCTGCCTCAAGCAGCAAATTTTCTAAATCCGCCATCGTCATACACTACACTGACTTCAAGTACCGCTGGAATTAGTCTCCAAGTGTCAATCCAACAAGTTAACCAACCAAATATACAAAAGCATGAATTGGTTATCAAAAGCAAATCTTTTTAGCTCTCACAATTAAAAAAAAAAAACAAACCGAAAACCATAATCTACAGCAGCTGATTGTGGGATGATAATTCCCACTATAATCTCTATCAACCCAGTCAATTAAAAACGACACAAATTAAAATATACAGCTCATTGAAACGCTAATATCATACAAATCACTTCTTTTTGTAAAACCCTAGAAATCAAATGCCAAATTTAAACGAATACCAATCGTGAGAAGGAAGCAAGAAAGCTAAGCTGAATTACGGTTTGGAAAGGCAATGGAGAGCTTACCGTCGAGAAATTCGAAGGTAGGATCGAGCTACAGATTGAATCTTTGCAGTCTAGAATGAACGTGGAGAGAGAAACATAGATCATAAATTCGCTGGAGGATTTTTTTTATAAAAAAATCAGGAGTTTAGTTTTAACTTTTAGGAACTAGATAAGTCACACGTCAACTATCAAATCAGTCCTCCATGTTAAAGTTCTTAACAAAACACTACTACGAGTACAATATTACGATTTGGCCACCCGAAAATGGTTGTCACATGTGCCTACCTCCAAGAGATAATAATATGATAGCGCGCCGCCGCAGATTTAAGGAGCTTGTTATAATTATAAAAATATTTTCTAGTTGTTTTTTAATATTTATTAATTATTTTATTAATAACATTAATTATAATACAAATAATAATAATAATATTTTATATTTTAGATTATTTTGATATATTTCACTACGAAGAAACACTTTAAAAAATAACTACAACTATAACCATACTTTTAAACAAGTTCAAAAGCTTACTTTTAAACAAGCTCAAAAGCTTGGTGTTTACGCTTTACTACTTGATGAAACCCTAGTTATTAAACTTGAATCAGTTTAGAGGGTTGATTTGAGATTTGAAGGTTACATCGGTTTGAGTGGGGTAAAAAACTAGCTAGTGCAAAAAAACCTTTTAATATATGTATTTTATATTCACAAGAAAAAAAATTACTTTTTTAATGTGAGATTTGAAATCTTTTAGTATATATATTCTATATTAAAAAAATTATTTTTTCAATGTGGGATTTGAAACCCTTTAGTATATATACTCTATGTTCACAAGAAAAAAATTATATTTTTTTAATATAGGATAAAAAAAATTTAGTTTAAATACTTCAACTTAAAATGATAACATAATATCTTTTAATATAAAATTTAAAGAATTTAAAACTCTTTAGTATATATACTCTATATTCATAGAAAAAAACTTATTTTTTAATGTGAGATTTGAATCATTTTAGTATATATAATTTATGCTCACATAAAAAATTATGTTTTTTTAATGTAGGATGATTGTTTTTAATATTTCAACTTAAAAGAGTAAAACTATATTTTTTTAATGTGAAATAAAAAACTTTTTGAAATAATTTTTTAAACTTTATTATTCATAACATGATAGCCTATATTCATATGAATTGTTTATTATTTTTTATATAAAATATTAAAACTTAAAATATTTTTTTAATTTTTCTGGGTTGATTCTTGTAATCCTGACCAGGCCTTTTGATTGAAATAACTCTCAGGTCAAGTTTGATAATTATAAATGAGACTGTTTTTTATATAAGAAAATAATGTTGAATTATTTTGTAATTTATTATAAATTTATAAATAATATATTTTCTACGAAGTTACATAAAAAATAAAATAATTTAATAACTTTTTGAATTTTAAATGAAAAAATAAAATAATTAAAATTAAAATTTTATTTTTAAAAAAAATTAAAATAGAAAATATATTTCTATTAAAAAATTATTAAATAGGTTAAACATGGAATAATGAAATGAAAAAAAAATGGCTAGTGTTTCAAATATGTCAAATAAAAAACAATATAAGAGTAAAAGAGTTTTTTTTACCTTCTGTGTTATTTTCCACCGACCAAACATAATAGAAAGACACTCATTTTGTAATATATGAATTTTTAGAGGAAAAAAAATTTTATTTTCTTTTCTAGTTTAGAAATTTTATTCTTTTTTTTTTAATTTAGTATTATCATGCTTAATCGTAGCTTTTGAAAAGTGAAATTAGAATAGGAAAAAATTAAATATTTTATATTTTTCATTATAATTATAGTATTTTTTATTATTTTAATTTATATATGAAAAAAAAACTCTACTGTCCTTGGTCATCAATTACCTCACCTTATTTTTATATCATTACCAAAAGTAACTTCATTTACATTCTCCGTATTATTCAGTCTTGTAGAGTTAAAAATATAAAAAATATTTTTTTATTTTTATTTTTAAATTTATATATTTATTTTTTGAAAAATAATTTTTAAACTTTTCTTTTATTTATTCTCAAACTTTTAATCGTTATATATATATATATATATATATTGTTTTGAATATTTATTTTTCAACTTCATCTCTTAAAATTTAATTTTTATATTAATTTTGGTCCTATTTTTATAATTGTTATCTTTTTTTCTTATCATTTTTTTATTGAAATTTTTTATCTATCAAATTTGATTTTTATTATTTTGATTATTACTTATTTTATTTAAAATAATTTATGAAATATTAATTATTATTTTTAAAATTTCTTCATCTTTCATTTTTTAGATTTGATCTCTATTATTTTGATTATTATTTATTTTATTTAAGATAATTTATAAAATTATATATTTTTTAATTTCTTTCTCATTCAACTTTTTAATTGGTAAAATTTGTTTCTTATTATTTTAATAAATTTAAAAAAAATAAAATATTAATAAGTTATTTTTCAGCTCATTTTCCATGAAATAACCAAACACTAAAAAGTATTTTTCAACTTATTTTCTATTATACTACCAAACATCAGAAAATAATTTATTTTTTCGAAATTCACTTTCCAAAAAAACCTACTTTCTAGCAAACAAACGAGGCTAGTGTTATTATGCTTCATCCTAGCCTTTTGAAAAGTGAAGCTTGAATGGGAAAAAATTATGTATTTTAGATTTTTCTTCGTAGTTATAGTATTTTTTATTTTTAAATATTTTAATTTATAATAAACTCTGCTATCTTGGTTATATCACCCATGGTTATTAAATCTAGACTAGTCTAATGGGTTGATTCGAGACCCAATTGATCTAATAGCTAGACTGGTCTGGGTAAATAAAAGACCATCCTGGGTAAAAACCCAACAAAACTCGGTCAACCTATTGAGTTGAACAGACTCAGAAGACTGGCAAAACTTAGTAGAGATTTTTTTTTTTAAATGTGTTTTTTTCTAACCAAAGACCACTCTTTTTTATATTTTTAGTTGGTTATTGATCATTTTCAAAGTTCACTATATAAATAGTAGAAGAATGTTTTATTTTTTAATATGAAATTTGAAGTCCTTTAGTATATATATTCTATATTTACAAGAAAAGAATTATTTTTTTAATATAATATTTGAAGTCTTTTAGTATATATATACACTTTATGTTAAAAAAAAAGTTATGTTTTTTCAAAATGATATATTTTTTATCCCACATATAAATAAGAATATACATTCTATTAACCCTTTTTAAAGTTCATTATATAAATACTAGAAGACTATTTTATTTTTTTAATATAAAATTTGAAACCTTTTAATATATATATTATATGTTTAAAAGAAAAAAATAATTTTTTAATTTGAGATTTGAAGTCTTTTAGTATATATATTTTATGTTAAAAAAAAAAGTTATATTGTTTTGATATATAATAAAAAAGCTTTTTTAGTTTAAATATTTTAATTTAAAAGGATAATATAGTATGTTTTTAATATGAAATAATTTTTTTAAAATAATTTTTTAAATTTTATTATTTATAACATGTATGATTTATATTTTTATAAATTATTTTTAAATTTTTTATATAAAATTTTAAATTTTAATTTTTTTTTAATTTTTTCAAGTTAACTTAAACTAATATATATAACGTGGATGGAAATAAAGGCAACTCACCTATTGATATCATATCCCTGAGCAATAATAAAACGTTGTGATAATTTAATTTTAGATTCCAAAGAAGAACATAAGAGAAGCATAAAGGGAATGTCTGTTTTATGTTGTTTTAAAATGTTGTCTGCAATTTCAAAAACAAAAGTGTGATGAAGGCTCAGAGGATGTTTATTTACATTTACGTGGTTGTTTCTGTTTAAATCATGGTTTACTGTTTGTGAAACTCAGTAAATTTTGTGTTTAAAATGTAGATTAATCGAAAGCAGCTTCCAGCTGCTTCTCTTTTTATATACCATCTATGAATGAATTAACTAACTCTGTATATAAAAATAAATATAAAAAAAAAACTAATTTTTTAATTTTTAATTATGATTTATTTAAAAAATTAATATTTAACATTATTCAATTATATTACATAAAATAGAAGGAGATCACATAATGGTGTAGCATTTGTAAAATTTGATCATAATTCTAATTTTGTTCCTAATGATATTTTACTTGATTTTGTTGTACGTTTAAAAAATCATGAAAATTATAGTTTTTATGAGATGAATTTCATATGTGATGGAATTGTAGTAGTTTAATGGAATAATAAAAAATATTTTATATAAAATATTATTTATTTCATGATATAATAGAATTAGTTGAATTTACAATATTTAAATTAAAAATCATCATTTTATATATATATATATAAAAGTTATTTTATAATCTTAATTTAAAAAGCATTATTAACCAAACAATTTAAGTTATTTTTTTCAGCTTTAATTTTAATTATAATTTTAATTAAACGTATATAAATATCAAATCAATCTTATTTAAAAATATTTTTTATAAACCAATTTTTTTCAAACTATAATGATAAAAAGTACACAATATCATACATACTTTAATCTCTTAAATACATAAAGGGGCTGGGATCTTTAATTAACTTCATCTTTCTTTTTTCATCACCTGGAAAGTAATATCTGTTTTAGTTTTGCTGTTTAAGGCTTAGGTTCTCCAAAGCCTTTATTACGTTATTTTGCCCATATCATTTTTTCACCTTTTTATATTTAATATTTGAAATTATGATCTACACACAAAGTATTTTTTCGGTATTAAATAAATTAGTTTTTTTCCATAAAAACAACAAAATTTTCCTTTTAAAGAAATGCATTTAGATATTTTTATTGCATATGTTCAAGTTTCTCAAAAATAAATCATATTGGTATAATTTAATCATAATAAAAAAATCACAAAAATAATTTTTATTTTGAATGCATATTGAATTTAATACCTAATTTATTAAAGTCATAAGAACTTAGTTTGTATTAAAAAAATAAAAAAATTATTTTTTTAATATACAAAATTATAAACTTATACATAAGATATATTCTAGAATGATTAGACTTGACCTCTAAAATTATGGTACACTCTACTCGGATGGACTAACTTTAATAATTAAACAGGTTTAC